GAAAGTGGAAATGAAAGCAGATAACAGAACATTGCTAGAGAGCGGGAAAGGAGGTGAAAGGAGACAATTTTAGAGAAGAAAATTTTCAGTCGCTACCCGGATTCGAACCCGGGACCTTTGAATGAGAGGCCAACATCTTAACCTCTAGGCCACGAGAGCCCCCCTCATGGTGAAGGACATCTGATAAATGGAGGCTACAGACAGGCCTTACACATTTTGTGTTCCAAACGCCGTAATGAAAGTAGTCACTGCATCCATTATTATCGTTTGTTGTTTCTTGTTTCCACATTATTATAATTATGTTATGTCTTTTGGCAGCAAACTTTCCACAGTTGCCATATATATATATATCTATTTTTTCTGTATGTCTTTATAAAAATCCGCTCCCTTCCTAGGGTTTTATCTGTCTACTTATATTAATAAGACGGAAAATACTTTGCCCACTCAGCCCTGATTTGGAACAAAACTCGCAAGTTTGGTTCCGCCGGCTCTAAACTTAACGCCATGCCGCCGGCCGGGGAAGGGGAGTAAGGGTGCAATTTGGGGATATAATAATACATGTTGCCCTTCTGAGAAGCCCTAGATGTTATCCACAGATTTGCTCTATAGGTTTAAAAAGGGGATAACTCTATGATGTTACCCTATCTATGTGAGCCTTGGGAGATGGTGATGCAGATGGTCAGGGTCGTGTGGGTGTGAAATACCACGAGTGCCAGTGAAAGTACTCGAGTAGCGAGCCACGACGGAAACTTTCCTGGGTAGCCAGAAGCCAGAGGTGTGACATTAGTTTGACCAATGCCTGCCGCCCTGATCGTAGAGCCAGCCGAGAAAAGAGTTCCTCTTATCGTTGTTACATGGCAGTGAGACGTGGCATTGGTTGACTGTGCTTGTTAGACCGATGGGTGGGGCTAAGGGTGGAAGTAAAGGAGATTTTCAGTCGCTTCCGTTTTAATAGGTCAAAAAGTGGTCCTATGAAATCCAAGCACTGATGCGAATTGGATAAATTTTAAGACTTCATGTCATTATCAGAGAGGATAACAGTTGAGAGGTGTGAAGTTCTGACCACTGCGTGGCGATCGGACAAGCAATCCTTGATCCCACCGGCTGGGAACT